GAAAAGGCATAAATTTGTTTGGTACATTTAGAATTTTTTTATTTCAGTACATCGTGGTAGTTGGTGGATATTAGCCATGGAGTATTTAGTCAGTTCCCCGTCATTCTTGAAGGCTGTGCCGTTTTCGACGTGGGGACCGCCAGACAATATCGCTACCGGGGAACAGTTTCTCCGTGAAAGGATCATAATACAACAGTATGACGGATATAGCATGTCCAGATTCATCTGCTATAATAGTAGAGTGATCTTAAATAAAATGTAAATTTATCAACATTCCTAACTATGGGTACAGATCTAATCGTACAAGTCTAAGATTTAATAATTATTTAACATAGACAATGTAAAGGTGAGACATCTCCCGAGCTACAGCTACAAGCCCGTGCAACCTCCGCAGATCTCTGTGGACGCCTACTGCTCTAAACGTATTTGTAAGCGAGATATTTCGACATGTTTTCGGTCATAATGGACACAAATATAGCCATAATGAATATACATATGTTTTCATGGGCAACGATCGAGAAACTGTTCAACTTATTTACCCTTTCACCTCTGCCAAATTTTGTACACGTTTCAGTACCCGAGTTTTTCGCATTTTCAGATAACGATATGTTTTTTTCAATTGACAGATGATTTCAAACAGTGATAAAATCAGCAGTAAGAAACAAAGATATATAGCAATTGTGCAGTGAAAGATTTTAATCAATATAAGAATGTACGTACCATGGTTTAGACTTAAGCCCGAAAGTGGGACGTGGTGACCATGACATGATAAATGATGCCTTTATATTCTCTAGCTTTCGATATCCATTTCAACAAGAACAATATTGCTCGTAGTTTTATTCATTATTCAATGCATCTTGTTCCTGTGACATTTTGTAAAAAAAAATATGTCGTTCATGTCCGTCCTTTGTACAATATTTACAAATTCAATAAAAAGCGATTACGAGGAAACATTTACTGGTTTCTGTGATAGGGTGGACACGCGCCACTGACGTTACCGGGGCTGTATTAAATTCCTTTCCACACTGGCGTGCAGTAAACCGTATACACCCTACCCGTTCGTAGCTACATGTATATATTAATCATGTTTACAGTTAAGTAGGTCGATTTCAACGAAATCAATTCTACCAAGAAGAGGTTACGTTACTGGACAGTGGAAATACCATTAGCAAACACGAGCTGACAATCAAACATGGCGGCACCCAGGTATAAGTATGCATACCCTACACATGGACACCAGGGACAATCCAACCCGGCCTTTCAATATGGGTATCCCCAGCAGGCTCCTCCCAGCTACTTACCGCCAGCCCAACCCAACAACCAAGTAAGTAGAACATTGATTCATTTCCTTGCATGTTAATTAAAATGAACAAAAAATCACAGTACCTAGAAATAGGTATTGCACGTGACCTGGCTATGTGTACTAATATGGTAATAAGAGAGATGGCCACACAATATCGGTGGTGATGAATGCGTTCTATATATAGATCTACATGCATACATGATTAACAAAGATCAATGACCTATATCCACAGGTGTTTTGTAGATCGTTAGATATACCAGGTCATGTCATTTAAATGTATGTAGGCTCTAGAAAGACATTTGCATGTATACCTAAATAAACGTAAGCATTGTTTTCGTTTTCTTTTTTCTTTCTAATTTTCGAATGCATATCTACCATTCATATTCAGTTATAAGTCAAAAAAAAAAAAGAAAAAAAAAAAAACTATTAAACACGTGAATTGAAAAAAAGTTTTGTTTCCGAAGCCGACCCTATAGAGGAATATTTGAAGGTAATATACATTAGACTAGCAGAGAGCTAAACCCTAACTTCCCCATTATCACTCATTGTATAAATCATGACTGTTTGAAATGTTCCAAAAGAGAGGGTAGGGAAGGATGGGAGGATAATAGGCGGGGGGGGGGGGGGATAGGTTTACAATGCAATTCCTAGGTACACATTATCTAGAAGCACAATAAATATAAAAGAAAAGCAATTCTGCACCTTCTACCTGTGTATGTTATAGGAAAACTCAAAGCTGAAAACAGATTAAAGTTATAATAGAGATATCTTCGCTATTCTTAAAAATATATACACCAGGAAATTAAACGCTTAAGTAAACATTAAACTTCGTCGAGAATGAGGCTGTTGTTTCATTTCTTACTCCACTTGGCTGTTGAATTTTTAGAAGAGATTTTTAATCTAGAAAAATACCTTTTTATAACATCTAATGAATATGATTTTAAAAAATTAATTTCTACATTTTCATTGCTTGTTCGAATATCATTGAATACGATGTTTTCATTTCAAGCGATTGCTGGAATGCCAAATATGATTACACCTTAAATAAAGAAGAATTAATGGACATTTCCGTCTTTACCAGTAGTTTTTTATGATTGCTAAATAATGAGAAATACGCAGGAGTCACTAAGAATAAACAATACCGAAACCAAGCAGCGTTTGAACTTAAATGAAATTAAGCGTTAAATTGGATAAATGTAGTAAGTAATGAGAGAGAGAGGGGGGAGGGAGAGAGAGGGGGGGGAGAAAGGGGGGAGAGAGACGGGGAGAGAGAGAGAGGGAGAGAGAGGGAGAGAGAGAGAGGTGGTGCTATTTAAAAAGAGTAATTAAATATTTCAAATTTCAAAAGGGTACGTATCATCTGTTTCTGATTTGAACGATAAAATATGCCTTTGTGGAAGCACCTTACGAATTAGTGTGACATTTATGCAGGCTCATACCACATATCAAAAATCAAGCTGAACGTAATTTTTGTTATATAAATGTTCTCATATAATTTAAAGAGCCAAGAAGAATAGTCAGTTCATCATACCAATGAATATCAACTGATGAATTTAGAAATCGTTGTGCAAAACCTGTATAACCAACTCATACTTACTGCATGCATTACACCTATTTCCCGAATTTATGAAACTTGTAAAAGCGTATCACGTCTTAAGATATCTCCTTTACATAGTAAATACTGAGCTCATTTCATTATAATTACTAGTTTCAGGATGGCCACTTTAACAAAAATTGAAAATCCCCAAAAACGTCCAGTTCTATTCATTGAAATACATTATAGCTTGTTCATTATTATGAATGTCTCTGTTATCAAATTCCTCTGCAGAAATAGCTCATACGGAACGACCGTCTCATCTCAGTTACCATTCGTGACATGTATAAAGAAAAGATTTTATTGTGTAAACAAGGGATCAGTAGGACATTTGTAGCAGTGGTGTTATTCCGTTATCAGAAATTTAGAACGTGGAAAATTGTGACAAACAAAAACAAGCTTCAACTTTTTTTTAATAATTTAGACAAAAGTATTTGGAATATTATTGATACAAGATGAAAATATGTTTTTATGACAAAAATGATTTAAACTTCTAATGTAGGAGACCAGAAACTGATTTTTTTAAAATTTGATGATAGCATTTAACAGCTTGGATATGTTACCTTGGTTATAGTAGCAATGATGTAAACAATTAATGTATTTGGGATTTTATTTGAGTTTCAAATTGATACTAATTAACGAAACAAGTGGTCGGTTGGCGCAGCGGTAACGCTAGACGTCCGGGGTTCGAATCTTGTACGGATATGAAAAAGATTATGGTGTCATTTACCCAATCATTTGAGTTTTCCCCCGGTACATTGTTACGTCAAAATGTTATCTTGTTATGTACAATAAATAACAAAACAATCGATGGATATTTAAGATATCAAGAAGCCATCTGTAGTTCACTTAGTTACTGGTGAACGGGAATATTTGTCACCAGATTATTTCCAATATAACACGTGATATTTTGTGTTCATCATAGACATGTTCCTTCAAAACAGAAACAAAAAGCTTGATAAAGATATTTTCTTTCTTTATATATATAGTTATTATTATCCGATATCCTTTTAGGTCTATTTTGGTTGATTAAATCTGGTGTCTCGTGAAAATAAGCAATCACTTATAAGGTGATTCCTACTTACTTTTACTTCTGAATTCTCACTAGATTCAGGCATACTAGACGTCGCTGAAATTTCTCCTTTATTACAAGAAATTAACTACAGTGTACACGAGGAATGTTTTATACCTAATTTGTCGAATAAATGCACGTTTTTCTTTACACCTGAACACTTGTATTTAAATAAAATACTTATATTTGGCATGACTTGGTTTCTTTTTAAGCTATCCATATCGACAGATTTTAAACATGGGGTTGCTTATTCGACTTTGGTTTCCAGTATAACAACACGCTAATTTTGATTGGCCTACATATGCCTTAAAAGGATTTGTTGTGTATATGTGCTACCACCAATTTACAATATTTCCGGTCCAATGCACATCAGTTGTGTCTAAACAACATTGCTGGAGCTAGAGAGTATCATTAACACAATAAAGGAAAACTCTTTTTCCATGCGTGAACACAGTACAGTTGATAATATTGTGTGATTACCAGGAATTACACAGCCAATAAAAAGTCTGATCAGGAAAGATTTCATCGTTCTCTAGGCAGTTTTGCCAACTGATACATCCAGCCAGATTCAACGATGCCACTGCGTTTAAGAGGATTCAATGAATACATTTGCAACACCTTTCCCGGAATCACGTTGCCGGTTGTCGCCATATAAGGACATCCTTTTTGGGCAGTGATAGTACCCAGATCTTTATCTCATGTATATATTTGTTGATTTGTTGCACGCGGAGAAGTAGCACTAATTGATCTAGAAGTGAAACCATGGTCTGTATACGAAACTAAACGTTGGCTATATGTTATAGATCGTTAAAGTGTAGTCACTAATGATTGACAGGGGCAGTCAACATAACGACTGTATGTTGTTATTGTCTGTTGCTGTGCATGTATCAATAGAACCATTACCACGCAAGGTGGTCGAAGATTAGATACTATTTTACAGAACTGGCTGGGAACTGAAATCCAGGTATTATTCCTGATCATTTATTTTGTTTTTGTTTAGCCGGCAGAGGCCATGCAGGTTGGTGACATGGAGCTGGACACCTCTGGTCCCGTAGGATCTGTGTATAGACCCCCCGATGGTGGCTGTCGGGCGTGGATGATTGTCCTGGCATGCTTCATCATCCATATGTGCAATTCTTCTGTGTTCATGCTGGTAACTGTTTTATCACAAGATTTCGCCTCTGAATTTGGAAGAGAAAAAAGTACCGACATCTTGGAAGCATTTATTGCTGTTCGAAAGTTAGGAGGTAAGATATTGTCAAAATCAAACAAAATCATTTGTTTTGACTTCAACTATCATAATCAATATGCCAAAATGTTAAAATTTACTTCAGAGTGTGCATAATGAATTTAAAATTGTATTAACTGTTCGCTTGCCCTGTGGTGCCCAGTGGGGGAAAATCTGACAATTTCAGAAAAAAATATCTTGTTCTTCAGGAATTACAGAATATTGTTAAAATTTGGTCTGAAACATTCATGTGTGTCTAATAGGTTGGTCTCCGCCCCCTTGGGCTATTGGGATGGGACGTGGCCTAATACGGGAAATAGAGCAAATTGGTTCAAATCTTACTCCTCCTGTGGGAATGATTTGCTCATATTTAGTCACAAGTATCCTATAGAGTATAGGAATCCGTTTTCTGTAAACTTTGGGATTCGGCCTTTATGGGTAGGAGGTACAGGTCAAATATGGGAAATAGAGCAAATTCCATTAAATCCTTTTGCTGTAGGAATACCAGGATGTCGACCTAGTTTGGCTTAATCGCGCATGGCTGGATGTGAATTAATTTTGTATAAACGGTGGATCTCAGCCCACTACAGAGGGAGGAGGGTGGAGTTAGGTCCAATAGGGGAAATAGGGTAAATTATCTAAAAACGTTGTTCTAACGTAAGAATGTTTGGAATCTGTCCCAATTTGGTGTGCTAAACGCTCCGGTGAATGGAAATTAATTTAATATGAACAGTAGGTATTGGCCCCTGAAGCGGGAGGAGGACCCAATAGTGAACATAGAGCAATTTTTTATGTACCAAATGTACACTCAAGTCTAGTACACTAGTCTCCATAGTGTTTTAACCGCGAATGACCGAGGAATATAAAATAGATCAAATAAGAGCTTCTTCATCAAGCCTACAGAATACGTACTAATTTGTTACAGAAATAAATATTGTAACGATCTATTGTAACTTTTACCCCGAGTGTTCATTTTCCAGTTCCCTTCAAAAGTTTAGATACAAAAGAATTTATTTTTCACTTATTTCATGAAACAATCTATGATTCTCTTCATTAGTTTTTTTACGGCGTCCATTTATCACCGAAGCAAGCGAAGAAATATGTCCCCACAAAATCACAGCCTTCATAGTGTTGGTTGTTAAAAATCCAAGATGGCCAACTGTTGACCATTTTGTTACTAGGCCAAAATATGAACACAAGAAAGAGTTATGACGGATAATGATTAATGTGAAACGTAAAGGAGAATAAGACCAGATGTTCCGGAAAAGTAAGCGTCTTCCGCTTCATCGAAGACATCCATTAATATCGGTCAGTCCAAGTTAATAATGTTATGTTCTCAAACAGGATATACAACAAAGGAACCAACGGATAAGTTAACGAGCATCAAACACGTCCAGCTTCATATCACACAAGAAAATGGAAAATTTCTCCATGACATCACAATGACGGCCATATACTACTTCATAATTTCCTTCAACATTTATATCCACGGTGGTTTTCCGTCAGTTGACGATCTCTTGAAAATTAAGAAAGAAAAATATATTGGAAAAAATGCACGGTATACACTCTAGGTTGGAAAAGCTGGAACGTTGCTATCCAGAGACGAAAAGTTCGCAATACGGAAATAAAAGCATTACGTGGAAAGCTGTCCATATTGGTTTCGTTGTAAGAAAAGATCAAGATTATACGACGTGACCATTTAGTCAAAAAACAAAACGTCATCAATATATCTGAAATGAAATTAAACGATTTTGAAAGATTTTGGTGGCCTGATCTGATTAGCTCATCGATAAGTTCAGCCTTGTGTGAAAACAAACAGGTCAGACAACTAAAGCACTTGACCTATGATACATTAAACGAATTATACAGTTTGTTATCTGTTTTGTTTATTTTTCAGTTGTGGTGGCTGCTATCTTAATGGTGCCGTTGGGATATCGCATTGTAGGAATCATTGGCTGTGTTATGTATGGCGGAGGGTTATTTGTGGCGTCCTGGCTCGAAAAAGATCAGGAAGACTTTGCTGCCTTTCTGTTGGGAGGAGTTTCAGGTACCCAGGCCATTCTGATATCAATATATGTAAGAGGGCGAATATTATAATAATGTAGCGTTACCATGTCAGGTCAATGGCCTTGATTACCTGCAGTAGTTTGGCTACAAAGAAAAAATATGATATGCATTTTTTCATTCAAAATCCTAGAAACAACTATTATTAAAAATACAGTGGTTCTCACTCGAAATGAACACAATTGCAGTTATGTACACAAATTAAGTGTAAATATTGCATAAGAAAAATCTAAACACATACTTTTAACAAATCTGCATATGTTTGTGCAAAGACTTTAGCAGAAGAAATATCACAATTGCTCTGTTTGTCCTTAATCTGTTTTGATAGGTCTTGGATCAGCATTTCTCTTACTCACAGCGATCGTTCCTCCTTTGGAATACTTTTCGTCAAAGAGACTGCGTGCAATTGGAATTGTTAGAGCTGGAGAGGTGATCGCTGTCATAGGAATGCTTCTTTTATCTTTTGCACCTAATTTAGACAAGGACATTGAATTGGATTTTAAATGGGAACATAATTTCCGCTATCAATTAATCCCGATAGGTATCGCGTTGGTTTGTAGTATCACCCTCACACCGTTGGAACTGAAGAGCTCCAGCAGCAATACAAACTACATTGGCCAGGTGGTTGGACTCGTGGATTGGAAGCTGTTCAAGGATTTGGTGCTTTACTTCATTCTTATTATCATCTTCCTCGATCAGTTTGGTACGTCTGTTTGCTTTTTAAAGTTTAACTCGTTTTTGTCCCTTCTGCATCAGCTGCTAAGCTACTGAACGGTGCCGTTCTCTTGTATCTTTAGCACAATTATTTTCACGGCCAGTCACGTAAGACAGCCGAGTTAACTCCTAAATATAGTAGACTATTATATTTCGAAGTGCGACAGATTTCCAGCAATGCCGCAATTGTAAAGAATATATAGTTAAGGATTGGATCTTGCTTTGATGATTTACATTGTATCATTATATACGTATTCTATTACATATACCTATCCATATCTATTTGTATTCTGCAAACCTAGAGCAAAATTTAATTAATTTCATTCAGAGTTTAGCACCAAAGTGTGACATTTCTTTCCCCTTACAGAATCTGTAAAGGAAGTTGTCATACGTACAAATCAGTGTTAGCGTGGTCAAATTAATTGACAAATGAAACATTCTAAGCTCTGTAGTTTCACTGACTCCAACTTCATTGGAAATGTAAAATTTAAAAGGAGTTTTTAAGATGAATAAAGATGTCATTAGGTACTAGATATTTGCATGTTTACAGTCAAATGGAATCAAATTAATTCATATCCCGATATCAACCAATGTCAGAGGAAATTGAACACATAAGACCTTAAATATCTCTATTGTTATTTTGTAAATTCATTTGGAATAGAAAACAAACATTAGCATGGTTTATATATAAGGACTGCATGATATTAGCCGTGACATAATAGCAGTATTTCGAACAGTTCTAATGATAATTAGTATTTAGTATTTATATAATGATACGAAAAAGTATGTCAATGACCGAAACGACCATGCAAAACCTGATCTCAGTATAACTAAACTAAATGGGATGATCCTACAACACGCAGGCAATGGGACATTGACCAAGATTTACTTGCAGAAATATACACTATTAAATTTCAATCCAAGCTGTCTGGAGTTATCTCCCTTTTACAACGTGTTTTATTGAATACAACAAATTGATACCAGAATATACGAGTAATCAGTTCAAAAGGACATTGACATTATATCGTAAGTATATTGTATATTTAAATAGTGTAAGTATGCATATAGACGGCGTGGTAGAATATACATGATGATTACGAACACATCTGCATTCCAGCAAATTATAGAAAAATGTATAATATTTTGGCTAAATTTGCAACAACTAACATAGGCTAAAACGCAGCTAACATATATGTTTTTTTTCTAAATCGTGAATGAACACCGGTGATAGACTCAGCAACATTTTAGATACAGTTATAATTTATAATTACTTATTACCAGCGAGCTTGTATTAAGTATTATTATGGCCTCCATTTTGTTCAAAATGCTACATCATGTAATAAATCATATGTGCGTTTGCGAGAGTCAGTATTGCAAAACTTCTAAACGACTCGGAAGTTACTCCAAATATTTATCTCTTAATTGATATGTCATTTTAAACAGGGAACTCGGTTAAAGTTGGGGGTTGGAAGCTCAGTTTGAACATTCTATTTAAAAAAAAAAATATTGTAAGGTCACCCGAGACAAAGTCTCAACTGACCAGTTGCTATTGCCAGTTATCCGTCGTCATGCATCATCCGTTTTATATTTAATTTTTGATTTCTCAGGACCCAGAGTTCGAATGTAGGGACTGCAGTGTGAGATCAAATGAATGACCTTTACCCACTTTCTAGTATCTTCAAATCTTCAAGGTCACAGATGTAAATTGTATGAGTATTTGTATTCATTTCCAGTTAGAATCAGAAAAAAGGTTGGAATTTCGTCGTCAAGGAGGTTCAGTGTTTTGAAAACTTCAGAGCAAGGCTCAATTTTCTGCAATGTCCTTAAGATTCTCACTTGATACAAACAATACTCTGAAGGCTTTAATCTATATGCTGGATATTTGATAAGGCAGCTGCTTTCTTTATCAACAGGTAAGCCTTTGCCCATTGACCAATACAGTGAGCTGCTGAATACAGTCGAGATTGAAGACATAAATGCTGCGATAGTTGCCCCTGTGATACCCAACATTGGTGAGCTGGCAGGCCTGATACTGATGATTTTGTGTTGCTGTTGGACGAATCGAGAAACAGGAACTGTCCTAATTGTTATTGGTATCGTCAACATTGTTGCCGGGATAACCAGCTGCGTCGCACCCTCCCTCGAGTCTTTTGGACTGATTGCTGCATTTGGAGCATTGTTTGGACTAAGCAAAGGTTACACATGTTTTGTAATTAACGATATCGACGACGAACAAAACAATAATCATATACTTAAATTGTATCCGTCTCTTTCTCAGTTTGATATACAATATTGAAAAACACATTTTGTGTGTGTGGATTATTTTTTATTATCCCTATGAAGTATGATAGTCCACTATTTACATATATACGCTGCTGAACGGATGTTTCGATTTTAAACATGACAATCCTTTTAAACATGTTATAATTTTACAATTAATTCGTCCCATTTTAAAGATTTCCATTCATGATACCGTTTCAACGTATGATGCTACATGGGTTTAGACCATTCGGTGTGAAGAGATTTCTAACCTACTTATTTTTGTTAATTGTTTACAGGAGTGTTCAACTCGCTTCTTGACAATACCATACCGGATACATTCGGTAAAGGAAGCGTTCGTATCGTGGAGGGAATGTTTGGTTTGATGGTTGGTATCGCGGAATTGGTGGTCACACCTGCAACAGGTAAGGGTGATCGATTTATTTTTCAAATAACACGATAAACACAAAACAAAGTTGAAAAGATAGCGATTAGACATTAAAAACTGAAAAAAAAACAAGATGAAACTTGTTTGACGTATCCAGTATTTATCAATCTTCAGAAGATCAATTCATCTATTTTGTAAAAAGCAGATGAAATGCATAGACGTTCTGGAGATATTTAAAATACTGTGATCAAACATAATAGTTTAAACTGATTAGATTATTTTGCGTAGCATTTATTTCAACACTACAATGTACAAATAATAACGAGCGGCTAAGAATAAATACGTTTGTTATCATCACAATTGAATCTATCTCGATTAGGTACTCTTTTGAAATGAAGGCGACTTTAGACATGTCATTTGGGCAACTCTACAAACAATCAAGCATTATCACAACTTCCAAATTGCTGGTTGATGCCGTTCAACGATTTCAACATAATCTTTTTTCCGATTTTAGTTGGAAACTGTTATATGTGGAGATTTAAAACGATGTTATGAACCTTTGATCAAGTGTCACCTTTACATGTAGTTTAGTGAAATACATCCTTTAAACTTCATCTCCTTAGTGACTTGGGACAATCTTTCTTTATGACATTTGTAGAAGGTGCAATATGTAGATATGTGTTTCCAACAATTTTGTTATATGATACGACATTAACATTTACCTTGTTATAACTTATGATGTTTAGAAGTAAAATATGTTTGTCTAATTTTGAGAGGATAACCTAAATTATCGAATTTTCCTGTTACCATTTTTATTCTAGGATATCGCAATCATTACCTTTATTGCATTTGTCGAAACCTGTTGGAGACCTTTTGGCAAATTACAGAGAAGTTTTTTTCTGGCATATAACAAAATAAGTAACGCATGTTCTGATATTCTGATGGTTTGAGATTGTACAAAAGAGACACAAATGAATAGCACCTTTTAATTTTATTTACACATTGATAAAGAAGAATCAAACAATGAATTAAACTGCATCTTACAGCTGTTTCGTCCTTCAACGATAACTAAATTAAATTAAGTTTAACTTCATCTCTTTTCAGAGGATATATTGGATATCGACGAAAGAGACCCTTGGAGGTTCACATTCTACATCGGAGGAGCTCTTGTCATCGTCTCCGGCATTGGAGCCATTTTAACACGATTTAAAAAACCGAAAGACTATAAATAGAATTTTGGAGAAATTGATTACCTGCCTCCAGTATGTGTGTTTTCTTATGGAATATCACATACATTCCTCGCATGGTAAAGTCACACATATTTGTGTGCGTATTTTTTCTGATACAATGGTGGAACTGTTATTAAGATGAAATATAAATAAAACCAGACTGATAAATTAATATCAAACTTTAATAATTATATACTGCTTTTGTTTATACAAATCTAATCCGATCTTCCTTTGACTCTAGTTTATTCACATGTTTATATCAACTACAAAGCAATTAATACATTTCCGCAAATTACACTGACTAGCACCTTCAACTTAATTGTACTAGAGAATGGGTTTGTAGTATGTCCAAGTATTAAGAAATGGTGACAATAACAAATATATCTAAACTCGGTCTTCAAACATAAGCATATACTCTCGTTCTTCCATTGTTATTTTGCTGCATAAAATGCACTTATATGTAATTGTCAATAAAGTCATTACAAAACACGGATTTGTGTTCTATTGAAGGAAGACTATGATATGGTACTAGTCTATATTGATCGTATATTCAATAACATGTAGTTACGTACTCGAGATACCATTTACAAGACCGAGGTTCGATTCCCGAACAGACGTGAAAAGCAATGGAGGTCATCTGCCCACGTGGGTTTTCAGCCTATTATTTTAGTTCGCTTCCCTTGTTTGCTTTCATCCAGACCAATATAATTTGTTTTTGAACTGTTTGAAAACTAATAAAGATTAAATTGTTTAAAGGGTATGTGAGGTTAATCAGAAGAAATTATCAGTCACATTCTATATCTACATTTATTACTAATAATATCGTGCCAAATTAATACATTTCCGGGTCAGCTTCACTAATCAATAATCAGATAGGATGCTAATCGTGAATGTACCAAGATCGAATTGTAGATTTGGCATGAATTAATAGTATTTAAACGTCATCCCTTTAGAATTTCCAACATTAATAAGGGTTTTTTTTCTATTAATGCACAACTTTGATTTGGTCTTCATCAAATTTAAACAGATCATTACGATTTTAGTTCAAATCATTTAGGTGCCCTTAAGTATGCCTGTTGTTCTGTAGTTGCTTACCTTGTTTAATTTCTAACTAACATGGTGTAGTCATTGAAGCTGAAGACGTTTTTCCTTCCGGAACACCTTGTTTACTACTTCGTAAAACTCTGTTTACATTTAACGAAAATAACATCTAACTTTAAGGGTAAATTTCATTCCTCCAATACAAAATGGTATATCAACAGAAAGTAAGCGAGAACATAGTGAGTGAAAGCAGTTTAAGTCCGTTTGTATCTTTTTTTTCAAGGGGGCGGGGATGACTGATATAAACATGTCTCGTTGTCATATCCAATTGTTTATGTGCTCCTTTTATGTTTAATGTTCTGTAAATCTTCAGATTTCTACACAGTGCACATTTTGTGGATAAATTAATAGAGTTAAGTAAACAGTTGCAAAGACATCAAACAGGTAATATACCTTTCGAGTGTGTATTTCCTGAGACTTTAATAAAACACTGCAATTTAGTATTATAGTCCAGTATGAATAATAGTTCATTATCAAAACATACATTTCATTATATTCGCCAAAGTGTTCTTTGTACAATCTTACAACCGCTTACATAAAAATGATAATTCAGCATGTCAACGGCATAGCCACCGTTTTTTCTGTCAAACAGCGAAAAGTAGTTAGGCTGCCCATTACTTTCTCAGGGCACAAAACATGAAATAATAATTCACCTATAAAATACAGTTACAAATGTATGCAATAAATTTGCAAAATGCATTACCCATCTCATAAATATATTCGCGCCGTTGGCACGAAGCAGATTTTCTTTTGAAGTTATATAATAGCATTTATATAGATCTACTGCTAGCATACAAAAGTGTACATATTGTAAAGTATTGTTACATTTACATGAGAGACGGGCAATGAATTAGTGAAAACTGGCAACAAATAAGTGTACCTAACATCATTCTAAGGGGAAAAGTTCACAGAGCATTATTTTATTCTCTCTTAATGAATGGGTATAGGTCATGCCTGCATATTTGTACAAAAATACAATTTATTATATTTATAATGTACATACAAATGACAAAATCATCATTTTTGAAAACAAAACATCGAATATTTCACAGGGCAATATTTACGACAGTACAATGACATCCCTTCTACTCAAACTAAGTATCACACATACATATGATCTTGTGACAGCAAGTTATTTTTTGATGATATACAATATGGAAATCGATCTTAGAATATTTTCAAATGCCAGAATGATCGATGAATTGAAGAAATATTTTGGAAAGCATGGTTTCCACACCAGACTGGAAGCAATTTCGCACTGTATCTATGGTCTCAGTTGTTACGTAAAATAAGTATGATGTCATGTCCCTCTCTAGATCTGACGTAAAAACAAGGTATATATCACATTTGTGTAATACGCAAAAATATGATATAGATACATTGTATATTTACAAGTAACAAGGCAATCATTGGATTAATGTATAACATTAAAACAACAATGAAAAGTACATAGTCTCATATCAGTATATCTAGATAATATATCTGAAATGTTCATAACTAACAATCTTAAATTTACATAGATCCATTTCTTCACTACTGCCACCATATTTTACCTCTTTACCTTTTTGTTGAGTTTTCACAAACCCGACAGGTGGCAGCACATGATCTAATCGCAAATCCACGAAATTTGTTACAAAAATCAGGTTGATCTTCCAGAAGTGATGCACAGTCTGAACGATCGTCGAGACACTTAGACGGAACTGTAGGAACAGAACAGATCAGTTAATATAAGTACAATATTAGGAAGAAGTTTAAAAAAGTTTAAAGGAGAAATTCACATGAAGAATGTTCAAAAGCCATCAATGCAGTATTACAGAAAAGGCAAATAATAAATTAAACAGACAGACAGACAGACGGACAGACTAATAAACAGATAGACGCCTAATTTTTTAAACCAAGGAGGTGATTGGCGAAAATCAAATTTGATCGAAGGAAATGTCAAAATGTAGATGAGGTGAACTAGCCTTATGATTAAAGTTAGGCCTTTTTTCCACAAAAGCATATTTTCTGTTTTCTAAAGCACTTGTGATTCTATTGTACAATAATTCTAATGAAAGGTGCTGTGTGTCTTTTTAGATTAGTACGATTTTTCTTATCGAAATCCATTCTGTTTTCAGGTAAATTACATATTTGGGTTTTCTGAATGGTTCGGAATCATTTTAACTTAACTTGTTCAACATTAATGATTTTAAAAGTATATCAATCAATGATGAGGATTTCTCAATAACGTATCACAATTGATTCGACAACAACTTTAACCACATTTGTTATCCTGTCAACATACATACCACTTTCTGTTGTATATCTGATGTCTATCGTACATACGACAGTAAATATAAGAACGGAAGCCAGCTTATATATGCATCGTCTTGTGGTAAGGTTTTTTCACTTATAGACTTGCTCAGGGGACTTCTATATATTCAACTGACCTCTCAACTGAAAACATCTTTTTCTCTTTATTGCATAAAGTAAAATAAAATTATCAATATCATGAAACAGAAAAAAAAAATGATGCAAGTTGTTTTTGGAGAGAGAGAGTAACGCCATCATTCTAGCCTTTCGTAGGATTGTTTATCATAATCAACATTTAAACTTTTTTTCATTTTAATGAAGTGTTGTTTACTTACAGGTAATGGGGATTTGACAGATGTAGGCTTCTCTAGCCGAACATCTTCGCATCACCAAATAACCGCTCTTGTTCATTTTGGCACAATCTCTTCCTCTTCTGTTCGTCATTTTATCTGGAAAGATAAAACTGAAGTGATCAATGACTCACACAGATAAATCACCTCTTCCGGATCCTATTTTTTAAGTTTCAGTAAAATATGTTTCCATGAAATATCACGCACACAAACTTTAATCTTTTCTTTAAAACGAGGTCAAAAGTAACCTTTTCGTTTAATTTTTAGATTTGACTAATGGCCGCTAAGAGTAAAACAGGTGTAGAATTGAACTATGGTGAAAATATTAATCTTATTTGTCCATGAACTCACGTGATGTATGTGCGCAAGCTTTGGGCGGAAGATTAGACGCATAAAGTGATTACTAGATCCCCTATAAACTAAGTGCTGAAGGGGAAGTAGAAATGTTTTGGAGGGGCCATATCACTACAAAAATGAAGGTTTCGCCTGTGAAATTACTGCTCAAGAATGCACCATCTTAACACAATGTATTGGAACACAAGCAATGTATTAAACAGATCACGTTCCTTTCTTGACATAATAATCCACGGCTATACCAGCAGAGCCAAACATCGTATATTGACGCTAACCATTCCGACCTTCCCATGTCACACTGCTCTCCTACTGTTTCTCGAGATATCCTACAACCTGAAATTTTAAATAACATATCCCGCGGGATTTTGTCTGATAACAATTTTAAACACTAAAGAAACACGCCCCTGATTTACACTAATGTACCTTTATTCCAGTATAGATCCGATTTTTCATTATCAAGTGGAGTATCGTCTGTCCATACTAGCCTTCCTTCTGATTGTTTGTCGTTTAGTCCTAACCAAACATCTGAAGGGCTCTTTAATCTGTAAACAATGACAGCACTTTTATCTTTGTTCCTGATACACTAAAGAAAAATGCCATTAAGAATATAAAAAGAAAAATATTTTTAAAACTGTTGTGTATTTTAGGAAAGCGATTTCGAGATCGAAAGCAAAAACAAAGAGAACCTGAGGATGACACTAAAAACAATATGTTAACGCTTTTGACGTGAAATCGTAATCATACTGGAAGGTTTCCTTGTTAAAAACCCGACTCCTGTTCGAGAAGGTGGCATTACTCACCTGGATTGACCAAACTCTACATAGCGGAAGTCGTAAAATAACGCTAACTCTTTCGGAACACATGGTCTTATTTCCCTTGCACTACCTAGGTATCCATATTTCTTTTGTTTATGTTTTATTCCCGTTTCAACGAATCGGTTTTTTTTTTTTTGTATTTTTATAACTGAAATTTTCAAAATTAGTCAAAAGTGGGATTTAACCAGTCAATTTATGGCAACAAGCATTTGTTTCGATAACGTGGGTACAAATATAACCCTATCATTAGTTTACTTACAACAAATTGTGAATGAATTTTTTTTCGGATGGCATTTTTACCATGGCGACCTGTCCTCCCTCTTTTTTACATCGTGTGACAGCTTCCGGTTCTTTAACGGGGTCAGGAAAAAACTTGTAACAGTGGTCGCCCAATATTCTCCAGTCATCAGGGCAAACTGTAACGATATATTATCAACTTATAGTCATCTTGGTAGTTAAATATCACCTTATTGGTTATGAAAGAGGAATTGATGACTGCCCAAAGTTGTTTTATATTTAAGAAGACTAAGAGCCAAACTGAATAAAAGACAACAATAAATGCGCATGTGAGTTATACAAATCTTCATTGACGAAAATATTGCCATACCCTGACAAACACGTCCTTTGCCCGCCCATGTGCCATCGGTCAAACAAGTAAGGCTCCGGATGTTTCCACCATCAATACACCGGAAATGGACGTTCTCACCGACCTTGAAGGATGCCTTTAGTGAATCCTTACACTCTGCGTCAACAGGAAGTGCTGGACTAAGACATCGCTTGGCCGATGCTGTTACAATATAAGAATATATGTCAATCTCTTTGTTCATTTGGTGTTAAGCTAGGTTTCTCATCCCAAGAAAATTCCAGGGTTATTTTTGGGTTTCCTTCTATGTTGTGTTTAAAGTAAAACAGGAAAAGATGTCGTTTGGCTAAGAAATAACAACAAAACTAACCCTTATTCATGTACAGTGTAACGTTACACGACGTGCGATATCTGCACGATGTCTGCACAATGTACGCACAATATGCGAACGGTGTATGCACGATTGGAAAATTAGACGAAACAAGATATCGCACTTTTTTGTGGTTTTATCGCACAAATGTGCGAAGTTCCCGTGGATAATATAAATTTAGAAATTACTTATAGAGTTTGATATCGTATATTTTCTCAATACATTAGAGTATAACTAAGTATATTTCCAAATTCAGCCATTGATATATAGGTTGGACGTCTGTAGATTTATCAGGTACAGACTGAATAGTTAGATAAACTTGTAATTTAAAGTGTTATGCTTACAAAGGGTCACATGTGACCAGTGTACGGACACACATTATATACATTTTATATGTAAACATTGAATGAATGTCTCTTTTTTTTTGTCGGCAATGAATAATCTAAAATTTCATACCGTCAAAAAGGAAATTACATTGTTTTTGTATTACCCTCATTTTTTAATCATTTTATGAACAAAAAATATATTATCTTAAATATATCGTTTGTTACTTAGCTTTGGGATTTAGTTGTTACTGATGTGGATCTGACACGTATATACCCATTTCCGAGCATATTTTGTTGCCGGAGACACAACACCGCCACCCTCTCGGGTGTAAAATCATACATAATAAGACCAATTAATACAATGTCAAGTACTATTTTGAAATTTGTCTTTTGGAAACTTTTGATCGCTATTCATAAATAACTGCACGAGTTTTCCGTTTAATATTAAATCCGTAATATCAGCCAACCATTGTTTCCCCAACCGCACAAAATATGCGATCCTATCGCACAGTTTTGTGCACGATACTGTATCGTACGTGAGTTCTTATGATGCTTGTATGCAAAGTATTTGTTGCGTTATGCATTACCACAACACATCCATACCTGGGACACTGTTTTGAGTGTCACAAAGACCACATGTCCGTGCACAGCCGACTACCCCTTCCTTTATATGACGGCCGAGAGAGCAGTACATGGAATCAACAGACAGGGAAGACGTGCAGTCGTCAAGGATATCGAAACATCCACCTAAAGTTAAAGAAGAAAAAAAAAAAAAAAAAAACAGAAACAAATTTGAGTTTTGTTATACTGGAACAGTCTGTTTAACTGAATATCAGTTGTGCGCTACTTACACATTTACGAATTAGCCGGACCACTGTCACGTGTTTTCGCAATGTCATTAAAAAAAAAAGATAAAGGAAAGATCTGAAACATTAAAGTCGTTGATCACGCAATCCGCATGCTCTTCAATAATACTGATGCTATATCTTTGTATATGTCATTATTGTAATATAAGCTGGAGCGCTTTCCATTGGCTTCATCAGTAAGAAATCGATTGTGACGTCATTACAACGGCGGTCTCCTTTTGATATTGTTCTCCACATTTTGAATTAAAAATCCTCGAAATGTACTTTTCTGATATGTGCGATTCAAAATTATTACGAATTTGTTTTTTACTTCAATTGGGATTGTATGAAATGAGTCTCGAATTGAAACTCACTGAAAAGCTTAAATACCTGTACAAGCAGACGAAACAAACGAATGACATATCGAACCAGAAAGAAATCTACCAACCAAACACACTATATCCTAGGTGACACTACCTTTAAATTTGAAAAAAATAAATGTCTACAGATATAATCAAATATGCCACACGTAAAACATTCTCTTTGCATTTATTAGATAGAGGTTCGTATATCAATGATACGTTCTTTTTAAAGATTAATATTTTTAACATGCGTCGCATGGTACACCATTATTACTTACCTATACCACATACATCACAGTAGTCTCGTTGACAGTCTTCAACATTTGTATAACACCAAGGTCGTGTACCTGATCCTGGACTCCGACATTTGTTTCCGTCTAGGCCAGCAAAACGGTCTCTATATAAAATACACAATAATATAAAAAAAAAATGTGTAGCTATTGGATTTTTTTACTATCCCGTCATCTGCTAGGGTTGACTTTGACTTGTAACCATTGGCTACGACACTGAACAACATAAAGTTGGTCAGCTGCATAACACCCACAGCAAATCTGATACATGTATTGCACAGACTCATTCACCACACCACGATAAACCATCACGTGTAAAGACCATCGGACTATACGCCTCGGATCGGTTTTCCGACTGAGGTATCGTGCTGTTCTGCTGATAGAGCGTGAGGACTGTACCAGCTATGTTATTGAATAAACACAAGAGACGACTAAACATTGAATCTTTTTTTTTTTTACTTTTCTAAAGTTCTTCTTCCTACTCTCTGTCTTGATATTGCCTTCGTTTTTTTTGCCTTAAGTTTGAATATTCAAGCAAATAGAGAATAGGCATGGCCTCCAATCACTTGTATTATAAGATATGTACATATCTCGTCTCAGTGTTGGTAAATATCAATTTGGCTTCAATATACAATGTTAAAAGTAAGTAAAAAAAAACAAAAACAAAAAACAACGATGATCTCAGGTTTATCTTTAAAATATGTATGTTCGTTGTTGCAGTATTGCAGATTAATCACATTCGTTATGATGTCAAACTTGAACATTACTGAAACCTATTTACTTACATTTCGCGCAAATCATTGATCAGGTTTTTTTAATGAACACTTTTTCACATATTAAATACATAGCCAATTAAGGCGATCACGACTAACGTGAACAATTAAGTAGAATAAGAAAAATCTGAGTCGATTTTATTTTAATATTACCCTTCCCTAAACTCGTGGTGATGGCAGTGGGTGACGTTCCGCCAGGGGAGACAACTCTGGAAATCATGCGTGAAGTTAACATCTCCTCTGTAGGTCCAGCCCTTGTCACTTGGGTGGTAGCACATCTCCTTATCTACAGTATATATAGGTATGTTAGGAACATGATCATTGAACTTTATCAAAGTTCCATTGACGGGAATTCAGAATGTCGATAATATTTCACAAACTGTAGCAATATTGTTCTTGATAAGACGACTGAAAATAAACCGATAAACCAACTAAAAGTATATTTTCAACAATTATTACCGTTTATTTTTATCTCTCCGTTAAAGCAATTTTAAACACTGACAGTACGATTGTATCTATATAATATACATGTCCCTCGTACGTTTAGCAGTAAATCACAGTCTTATGAACGATTTCACTTCCACGGCATTTTGAACTTGCCAACCACAATGCCTCTCCAGTCACAAACCTTGTGTTTGAGACTTCGCAAAGTTTGATGTGCTACAAGAAAGTATGTATTTACCTTCAGGCGAAATGGATATGCTAGCCCGGAAATGACGTTTCCCAGCCTGTGGAGTCTGCGAGTGTAGAATGAGAGACATGATGTTTGACTGGGACACGATTGAAGACCGGAAACCGCTACCACAGTATCTGTCAGGCGATACACAACATCCTCAATACATAGTTTTAAAAATTGCACAAGAAAAGTTCTTCTTATATGTTATCTACATTATCGGCTTTTCAGAGGTTAATATGGTGACGTTGATACCACTACAGCCGCATTAACACCATGGTGTCATAGTTATAGTAGCAGTATATTTCGATAACTTAATTTAAAAATGTAAACAAAGCGATTGTCTTCCTATGACATTTATATCCATTGTAAATGACAAAGCTTTGCATTCAAACTTCATAATGTGCGCAAGGCGTTAACATATAAATATTTAAATATACGTGTACACATACGATATCCCTGGCTGCCCAGGCAGAAAAGATCGAATCTCCATTTTATCCAGACAAAGAGAGGGATCGACAGTCGAAGCTGGAATCTCGAACTCCGGAAATTTTAGTAGTATCGTTGAATTAGGAGGACCCTGAAATGACGTCATCAACGCATGCGTATTAGGAAGGAAAACAACTTGTTTATGTTTAGGAAAGGACATTTATCAGAAAGGTAGATCTTATGATAGATATCGCGTCTTCCGAGTGTGTAAAAAAAACTTAAATATCGTTTTCCTTTCAAATTCCATAACAGGATGTCTGATCTTTACCTTTATCAATTCTAAATATTTTCCTTTAAAAGTTTTAATGGAACATGGAAAACAAGGACCGTCAGTGACGGGTTATGCCACCTGAATGGGACAAAATTGAAATATGATAAATAACCAAGGGAAATAAGAGAGTTATGATTCTTGCGTACTACCTTCCTTCTCATTAAGATATATTTACCTTATGTATCATATTGATACCTCTTTAGTGTTATTCCGTCTAGATTATTAAAGAATAAAAAAAGGGCAATAACTCCTTAATCATACAAAAGAGAGAGATGGTTCTGATGCACTGCACTTCTCCTTGCTGAGATCTATCCACATAAGTACCCTATGAAGCTTTATGTTAATATCTGTTATAGGTTTTTGTGTTATGCTCCGGACAAAATTATGACGGACGCACGCACGGACGAAAGGATGTACGGACAAAGCGGCGACTATATGCTCTCCTTTCGAGGAAATTGATAAAGCACACCTGTCTGATTTCATTATGAAAGGTAAATAAATTGTATTTATATATATACCTGTATTACCCAGGTACACACGGAGAACGGCTGGTAGGAGGCGGGGTAGTCTGGTGACGTCAGTTCCTGGACAGCGTTAGATTCCGTCAAATGGATGATGTCACCGCAACCTGAACTTACATTTAAAAATAAGATGATATATATGCGAAATAAGATTTACCAAACAATTTGCATCATCCAATACCATTATCTAAGAAATATTATTCACATGGAAAATACTTCATTGTACATGTAATGCTAATATAAACTGTGCATATCAGCAACTGCCATCCCATACTGCGGCTTTTGTCAGAATTAAAAGACATTTCATTCAGAAATGTAATTTTTCAATATAAACTCTTCCATCTGTGAAGAGTATTAAATAGATTCTATTATATCTGGTAGTTGAGAAGATTCTCGGAGTGAATGTGACCCTTTTAGACCACAGTTCATGAGCCATTGGATACAGCCAGCGTGGGGAATATGAGATCCTGGGGTCATGGCCAGGTCGATACAGCATGGCTAGGTCCTTCTATCCATGTAGAGTATTCGATCCACCATATCCGGATTTTCCAGATGTTGAAAAATAAAAAGTTTACGGACGGACAACGGACGGAGGTCGACGCCGGACAAAAAGGGGTCACTATAGGTCACAAGGCTTTGTCTCAGGTACAGAACACGACAAACTATTCAACTGTCACACTCTGCCACTATGTTATAAACTATATTTGTGAAAAACAAGGGAATCGTTTTTCATTTTTGTTTTTGTGTGCATGATTGGTATTTAACATCTATACTTTACCAATCCTCTTAACAAATATGTTTTTGCACGTATGATATGTAGTATCATAATCAGTTGAGTTTTTTTCAGTAAAAACACAATACTCTTACTAAATCATGCACTGAAGTTATTGGTAATACTGCGCAGGGGATTACTAGCAGAATCAATCACGACTTCCTTACCACATAAAGCATGACCACTAATTCAAGGCTACAAACAAATTCACCACGATTTGTTGACAACATACAACGTTGCCAACATAATGCCACCACGATTCACTGACAACATAAAATGTCACCACGATTAACTGACAACATAAAATGTCACCACAATTGGATGACAACATAAAATATCACCACGATTCACTGACTACATAAAATATCACCACGATTCACTGACAACATAAAATGTTACCACAATTCACTGACAACAAAAATAGCACCACGATTAACTGACAACATAAAATATCACCACGATTGGATGACAACATGCAATATCACCATGATAGGCTGGCTACATATCCCTTTTGCACGAGTCCTTTACCTTTCTGTATCGGCCAGTATAGACAAACATGAAGCTTCAGCTTTCTGTATCGTCTGTTTAACAAAGGTAATGGTTTCTGTAGTGTGGCTAGTCGTCTCATTCGCCGATTTACGAATTCAAAATATTGTGGAAAGCTAACCGTACCTGAAAAAATATTAGAAGCCTTGAATATGACGATTTTTTAATGAAGTTGTGTATCATTAAAAGTATATCATCCGTTTTTTATAAATCATAAAACGTTGAATTCATTTTCGGAATGCACTTTGGTTCGCATCAATCCCTGATGCCATTCTTCATCAAGACTAAAAGGATGTTTGTATAATGGAACATTTATATGACATACACTTTTAGCTTTGTTTAATTATTGTACATTGCATATTTCAAAATCGTATGACGTCGTCATTTCTAATTCAAATTAAGAAATATAACAGATCCACGCTGTCTACATTATCCAGTCGCTTAATACACCAGGTTGTCAGAATTGTAGTTACCTTTCACTTTCTGGCAACCCTGTCTATTCTTTTTCCACAACAGAAACGGTTGGCTCACCGGAAGTTCTATAGGACTGTCTTTATTTCCGTCACTTCTGCAGCAGAACTCAAACCTTGCATGGAGTGTGAAATTTCCGTCGGGTAAAGTCCCGGATGTAATGGGAGGTCTCGCATCTGCATACTGCAAGAACCCATTCGTAAACCCTATACGGAATCAATGAAGTGTTATATTTTAAAAATGTACTTTAAGAAGCAAAGCGTATGTCAAGCTATGGTATAATGAACGACAAAATAACAAGTTTTAGATAAAAAAAACTTCGTTACCTTCCGGACATGATCCTCCCGCACGTGACACACAGTACTCTCCAGGAGACCAATCGGTCGACTTCTCAGAATGTATAGAACTGAACGTACAGAATTCAAGTTCAGTAGCTTCTGCCGATACACTTCCGGCCACATTGTAGTCAAATGATCGCTCTCCTTGTCCGAAGTGGGTAACGGAGCCTACTTCGGAACCCTCCGGACAATCTACGTCCTTAACCTTCAAGATGGCGAAACCTCCCGAAGGCCACAGCATGTTTTTCAGTGTTTTGTCTATAACAAATGGTTATTACCATCATTTTCGAAAGCAAGTAGGCAAGTACATTTGCTAATATTAAATGGTATCCCTTTTTTCTTTCACTTATAGAAGAAGAGAAAATGCACAGTCATAACAACTTGAACCAAGTCTGAGTAAGTCACCTGACATGACGGGAAAACAGAAAATAAATGAACATATAAAAACAAGTTTGGACGAGCGGAACAAATAAATGGGAATGAGAAAGAGAGAGTTCAGAAGGGAAGAAAGAAGAACGATTAGGAAGAACAAAGAAATTGCGCACCTACGCCTTCAATACTTGTGCAGTTGGTATCGGGATTTAGTCCAGCGATACAGCGACATACACACCGACCTTCTCTGAAGGTTAGGTAACCATCATAGGCACAAGTGGCGTCAAAGTTAGGACACTTTTCATCTGAAAAAAAAACATATGCAGGAATAAACTCATATTTTAAAGTAAGGAGAAAAACAGCAAGAGGATAATGGAGGACTGATATTGACGAATTGTAGTTCAGATAACACAGTGAACAAAGTGCTACATTTAGGTGACGGTTTTCACAATACTAATCTTAGGGTCATCTTATTACATGAAAGATGTTAGAAAATAAAAACATCACATGTACACATTATATACTTAGCCATGCCACTTAATCTAAACACGTCACTTTCCATCCATGCCATCAGATGGCTTTCGTTTCGATGTAAAACCTACTTACCTTTATACCTTTGTACATGACCTCCGATCCTACAGTTACCTGTACAGATGACCGCTTTTCCTACCTGTGCATTTATATACATGCTCAGCTTCTCGTAGAAAGTAATAGAACTGCGAATCCTTTTCTCCCACAAGGTACTTCATATGTGGATCAAGCAGAGTTATTACTGGTCGTCCGTTCTTGCTGAAAGCCTATATAATGGCATATAAAATCGCCAGTAAATATATACAGCGTTATGAATTATGTATACAAAACACCACAAGACGACTTAAATAAACTCTAGTATACCAAACAGTATCGTTAAAAAACATATACAGTGCTGATCAGTTTTACCTAGACTGCTGCTAAGCGGTTTTAGCATTGAGTAGTTTGCGTTCATTTGATCCTATATCCACAACACTTTGATTTGAAATGTGTCCATCTCTTACCCGAAACCAATTCTATGTTATACAGGTTAGTTACAGTCTTGTTAACCCATGACTTGTAAGATTACAGGTTTGCAACCTTATAATGTAGTCAGTTATCACTTAGTTTGGTGAATGTTTGAAAAGCAACACCTTCTCAACATTGTGCATAAAATGTATGTTGCGGGCGTTTATGACCTAAATTGTATGATTTCCAGACATTGTTCGGACATAATGTACTGTGTCCGATGGAAAATTATTCATTATCAGTAGCACGTGAGAACGTATTACTGTAAGAAATTGTTTACTTATAAAACAAAACTTGGTTAGACACACAAAACTGAAATAAGATTTATGTTGATGTGATCTCACCTTTAAACCATAGTGCATCACGGAAGTATAATCGTATCTCCATGGAAACAACGCCCTCTTATGTGGTTTCACTTTGTGAAAGGCGTATGCGTTATCTACATTGCAAAATTGGACACAAAATCAGGGGAATGGTAAAAATTATTGATAAGTAAAAAATAAAAAAAAATAAATTACAGTTATTAGCATAGATATGAATCATTACAATACCTACATGTATATTCTAATAAAGTGATAAGGTTTGCTGTAAATGTATTCATGTACATTATATCTCTACACACGTCAGATCCTGTAATCACAGTTTTGAAAACGTAGATGTGTTACAGACTTCTAGAAATATAAACATTCGTGTTATCGCAATGGTCGTTTTTCTTATCCAAGCACATTTATAAAATCTTATTCTGGTGTTAAGTGCATTTCTGATAATTCATTCAGAGACAGAATTCATATTATCATTGAACGGTGAACAACGCCAAATACATTATGTATGCTTAGAAGACTGTTTCTTAAGATACGTGTACATTGTACGTAGAATACTATCAATCTCAACCAGAGTTGTCGTTCCTTATTAATCACACTACGTCAATGTAATCTGGCTGAGATTAACACGAAACAAAACCGAAATTTAAGCCATTAAGTAATCCGTTTTATTCTAAAATTAGCCTTTATTTATATGACCTAATAGCTCCTAATGGAAGCGAGAACAGACCTGGTTTGATGTTTTCATAGTTAATTCGGACGTAATCATCTCTATATGGATTCTGCTGTTCGTGACTGAAGCCAAGTGCGTGTCCGATCTCGTGTATACATGTGTTCTGTGAAATACAAAAGAAAGATTATTGGAGGGATTGGAGGACTTTATAAATGATGATTTTAGTCATATAAACGATAATAGGCAATATAGCAATATACATTATCTGTGTGGCCAAGTTAACAACAATTTATTCTGACACAGCCGAATAATTACAATCCATTTACAAATGATACCACGATCTTTATATGTGTAGCTTATGGGAAAGGTTAGAGCTAGAATCTAAATGTCGCCAACTCGCTGTCCCTGCCATGCCTTGTCGCTTCCTCGTTGTATCGACTGAAAACCGAGAACACAAGATTGCAGGGTTTTCTTTGACTCTACCTGGTCACGGTCATTTGACATCTCTTTCGTGATCCTATGAGAAAATGTTACCTTACATCGTCTTTTGAAATGTTGGCAATATGTAAATGTACAAAGTACAAGTAGTTAATGCCTATGGGTACCAGCTTGTCTTCATTTTAAAAGAAAATACAAAGCTGAATATCTTTTGCCATGTCACAAACCTGGCTTGACCTATCAGACAATACAATGCGAAATGTCCCTTTACCCCTTGACAAGCCTACCTTGATCCTACAAAACAATACTTAATGTCTTATGGTCAAAAGACATTAAGTATTGTTTTGTAGGAACAATACTAAATGCTCTATGATCATAAGGCAATACATGCTAATGCCCTTTGACCATAAGACAATACAATGCTAAATGCCCTATGACCATAAGACAACACAATGCTAAATGCCCTTTGACCAAAAGACAATACAATGCTAAATGCCCTTTGACCATAAGACAATGCAATGGAAAATGCCCTATGAACATTAGACAATACAATGCAAAATATGCATTTACCCCTTGACAAGCCTACCTTGTTCCTACAAAACAATACTTAATGTCTTTTGACCATAAGACAATACAATGCTAAATGCTCTATGACAATAAGACAATACAATACTAAATGCTCTATGATCATAAGACAATACAATGCTAATAACCGTTTGACCATAAGACAACAAATTGCTAAATGCCCTTTGACCATAAGACAATACACTGTTAAATGCTCTTTGAGCATAAGACTAAAATCCTTAATGCTCTTTGACTATAAGACAATACAATGCTAAATGGCCTTTGACCATAAGACAACAAATTGCTAAATGACCTTTGACTATAAGACAATAAAATGTTAAATGTCATTTGACCAAAAGACTATACAATGCTAAATGTCCTATGAACATAAGACAACACACTGCTAAATGTCCTTTGACCAAAAGGCAATATAATGTTAAATGCCATATGACCATAAGACAATACATTGTTAAATGTCATTTGACCATAAGACAATACAATGCTAAATGTCGTATGAACATAAGACAATACAATGCTAAATACCCTATGACAATAAGACGATACAATACTAAATACCCTTTGACCATAAGACAATACACTGTTAAATGCCCTTTGACCCATTGCCAATTCAATTTATACATACCCCTTTACAGCAGGAAATATTCTGCCCTGATTTCCCTGTTGACATCATACCAACATGAGACCAGCATCTAACAGAACAGGAGAGACATTTAAAAAATCATTAAACTAATTCTATTATATTTTGTTTTCATTTTATAACCATCCAAAACTGAAGTTTGAAGAAATCTATATTACTACAATATGGATTGATTTGAGTTTCTATTCGAAATAAAAGTTCGATATGAAAACAAGTTTCCTTCTATTTCCAAGAAAGTGATTAACAAACATATTAACTCCATTGCATGTCCAGTAGTTTATTCTTTAAATATCGACGACTCTTAACAGGACAAAACTGACACGCGGGTGAAATATTGCGATAGTGTTTTTTCAAAGGGTTCTGTACTTTGGAATCACTATTGCCATACCATAACCCTATCTTTACTAGGTTACATAATCTGATTTATAGTCTGGTAACTGAAATGTAAGGGAAATAAAAACGTTACCCTGAGTGTTTACCGAAGTTCAGATGGTTGTCGTGTCCCAAACCAAGGTCATAACCTGTTGTCGTCGTCCAAGGAACAAATCGAAAACAAGTCCAATATTCAAACATCGCCATGGCTGCATGAATCGCACTGATCTTATCCGGTTCTGTTAGCAAACACCGAATGAAACATTTTATTTCATATCAAGTCCTGCATCATATCCTCTTTCCGATTAAAATCATCAAACTTCAAAATTAATGGTCATACGACGTCAGAAAGGGAAACAAATACATGTGAGATAATGACAAATAGAAATTTGGAAGTATCTGTCGATGAAGTATTCTTCGTGGATAATTTTTGGGTTGGGTTACATATGATATAGATATATATGTTTGCAGGTCGAAGTTAACACGAGGTGTTACATACCTAGTGTTGTCATATTCAATGTGTAAGGGATTACACACTTTGGCCATAGTCGACTGGTTTTGTTCAGTAGAAACCTCTTGGTACGTGATCCCACATGTGACTCTTCCTCATTAATGTTCTACATGAATACACATAGTGTATTTATTTACAAATGCAATTATCAAATTAATATTGAATATTGTGTATGAATATTTTCATTAATTTTTGTATTTGACACTTTTTTATTGATTTTAAACTTTATCTATTTTACAGCAATTGCAAACAAGCTTTTCCAACTTATTCTAAACACTCTTGTTCGCCGGGAGGAAACCGCACAAAAGATCTTACTTTGGTTGGAGTGCCTGAGGATAACCCAAGTTGTCGGACAGGTGACTCCACACCTTTCCCAGTCCGTACAGAAGATCGAACCTGGACGTCCATTAGAATGGCAAGCGCCAGCATAACACCCCTTATTCGATAGGAAAGTGAACCCAGTCTCATCTCCGGTTACGGTAATACAACATCTAGACTAGATTGCCTACTGTAGCTAATTTTACTCTCTAGTTTTCGCTTAGAAAAAAAACGAGTTTCAACGAGCGTAATCTAGCGGAGAAAAATGGCACTAAGGCAGGTAATCCAGTCTATATAAAAATCATGACGTAAGCGGCATCAAAATAACATCACACTTACCAAGTCCGAGTCATCGTCAAGAAAATCGTTCTTCATTTCATCGATATCATCATCTACCCATTCCTCGTCAAGTTTCTCCTGGTGTTTTAAAGATACATAGGTACATTTTACGGGCCAATATATCACAATAAACGAAACAAGCAAATTATGTTGAGTAAGACAAATTCCATTTACGAAACATATTTATCTTTTGTTACTCAATGAAAATAACATTGAACTGTCATGTGTTTTTTACGTTATATGTCTCGATAACTTTATGTTAATTTACCAATGCTGTGTCCACTATTCGTTGAGATGACGGCGTTATCAGCCCCTTGTTCATTACAAAGCCAAGGTCATTCACTATATCCCTGTAAGGGCCATCGGGGATATCCTGAAAGAGGAGAGTAAACCATTAATGCTGTATAATTTGAATGTATTTTTCAATTTACATACAATCAACATATTCTTTAATTGATTTAGTTACTTTTATTCTCTTGAACAGCCAGGATCATACTGAGGTAGTGCCCCTTTCTAGAAGCTGGTGTCCACGGCTTATTTTCTAGAGCGAAATATGGGGGAAATGTCTTGCCAAATGATACAACTATGGTAGATGCAGCTTATGGATCGAACTGCACAACTCTTCTTAGCTCTATCTACTGAGATATCGGGGCCCCTACGTGAAAAAACGTTAGGAAGCTCTACAATAAGAATATCTGATCTTCTCTTTTTCATATCATGGCAAAGTAGAAATACACATCTTTAGCTGAACTGGTTCAAAAGGATTCCTTCACAATCCACCATTTTTTTCTTGTGTGGGCGTACTACACAAATATTGAACTCTAAAAATTGTAAGTATATATAATTATTTTATCTCACAAAGGGGAAATATCGTAAAACTGACATCAAAGATGTTTCGGTGATGGTAATTTGTCATGTATCACCGCTTCGGACATAAATATGTCTAATGGTGACGTCACGAACGTCACTACACATAAAAAAACTGGCCTGATACTCCAGTATAAAAATCGTAAGTTGTGTTTCTTGTTATCGTGTGTGGTCATTGCCAAATGTCTATTTTGCTACAATATACGATAAAGATACCTGTTTGATGTTGATAAGGGAAATAACATTAACGATTTGTAAATATTTATTATAATTTATTCAAATTCTCTCATAATACTATACTATTTATTACTGCTTTGAATATATTTTCTTTTCCATTTTGTTAACAACCCAAAGTTTCACACTTCACATTGTGATATTTGAATTTATATGTAAATAATCATATTACTTACCTCACTTTGTATCCCAATGGTCACTACTAAAATGACCATCACCGTGGTCATCGTTTTGCCCGCCATGGTTTTCTCAAGCAGCGCTAGTCAATACTCGCCTACAAAATAACGTACTTCCCTACATAAACTCTCCCCGAGAGGGACAGCATGGAAACGTGCACTTGTTAACACAAATCTCCCTTTAGTAAATGGCATAGTTGGATCGTCCATCTAGTATATATGTAAATTAGATTATTTTAGTAGAAATACGGTATTGATATGACACGAGATAAATAAAATTACGTTATATTTGTATAAAATATAAATCAATTATGGTCTTCAACAGGAAGTTAACAAAAAGCATAGTTATTGTTTAAATGCGCTTTGTTCGAATAAAATTAGAGGGAAACTCATAATACTAGTTCTGACTTAGTTTTATTTAAATAACAGAATAATTCTAATTCCGGCTTCTATTTGTTATGTGCAGTTTTGTTTGCAAAATATACTAGTTTAATTGATAGCCATGAACTTAGAAGTGTATTTCCACTCCTTGACGTGTTTACGAAGGAATACTACCAAGGGATGATATATCCGGATTGATCGAATTCTGTTTTTGTTGCAATTATAACTCGTTCACGCTGACCATGAACTTTCTACAAATTTCATCATGAATATGAATTACACTGTGACGCTAAACCCGTAATTCCTGTTATTAATCTTTAACGTTTTGGTGTTAATTACTCACAAATCACTTTTACAGCAACCCAGTGTGTTGCGATCGTCAACACCCATGTATCCACATCTTACATATACTCTCTTCCTGTAAAAGATAAATTATGCTGCTGATTCAAACCATTTACAAGTAATCCCACACAATCCAGCACATTTTGAGATATATGTCATAGGTTTTATTTAAAAAATGCTTATTTTTCTATATCCACCACGGTTTTTCTTAGTAAATGTGTAATGTGACTAGACGATTATAATTCATGTTTAAATATTAACACCGCCCAGGTTTACACTAGCGCTAATTCATTTACCACAAAACAGGGTGAGGCTCCAAGATACCACACGATGTAATGCTGCTACCTTCTGGCAAAATCCTTAATTTTATGATTTAGTGAGGAAAAATCTGAACATATACAAACGTACTGATGTAAATCGGTACATAATTGTAAAATAACGCTCAGTTTGACATTTTATGATACCGGGATAAAGTCCCATGTATCAGAATGGAATTACTGCAACTGTAGGCGTGCTTAAAATATATTCATGAGGACAGAACTATTATAAATTATTTTACCAATTTACAATAATACGTTTTGGCATTTAATAAAACAAAATATCACAGGAAACAGAAGGGAAATTAACAAATTGAAGCTGTGAAAAAGATATGGTGGGATTTCGGGACCCGATCACATTTAATTTCGGCGTGTGATAAGGACTCTTTGGAAACAATACATACTTCTATGAGTAAAATTATTTATGCTTTTTTACCTTTGTCAATTCAACATAGATTTTTATATCAACGCGCAAGATAAAGTTTTTTTCTTAAAGTACACATCAGATACCTGTGCTTTTGTCACAGTTTGAGCTTGAGTAGTCGTCACAAGTAACAGCACCATTAAGAATCCTTTAAGACAAACACCATGACCTTTTCTTTGAAAACACTACCAGCAGTGTTATCTGTCATGTGGACCAATTGTTTATGTTTACCAATAGTTATCATGACTTCATACTTTGTCATGGATTGGATGTCATTTTATCAATGTCATGCTGATGGTTTTATGAAAGGGCAGAGTTCAATATTAAACGGAACTATCAATATTACCTTGAAAACCCCCAGGAGAAAACAATGTAATCATTATATCTACTATGCATACTTTTCACTATAATGGTCAGACTTTCGTTCATTCAGGTTTCAGAAGTAAAATAAATGTATTATTTTATTCAAATTATTGGTCGAATCTTTAAAAACTCGCTGTGTAACTCAGCACTTGTTGCCAATATGGCATTCCACAAGTATAGACATGTAGTTTTGAAAGCCGAAACTGTTATATTCATTTTCATAAGATAAGCTAAAATTTAATGAAACTAACTCTTGTATTATCATATTTCAATTCAAAATGGTGTAAATGAAAAAAATACTCTCTAGGATTTATATCTTTTTACATGCAGGACAGAGTTTGAGGTCGTAACTATCCAGACTTTCCGCGAAAGCAATTGGTTCGGATTGTTGTGTCGATGTTGTGTTTTATTCCAACCACGCAACCCGGTTTGAAACGGCTATCGAAGTTGATTAAGCTGAGCTGTCTATTGTTGGTGAGTTAAAATCCCCCCCCCCCCCCCCAAAAAAAAAAAAAAAAAAAAAAAAAAAAAACAACTTTGCATAGATTTCTTTTTCCGAAAATATTTAATATTTATAATTTGCCGCATATCCCGCACAAGTTCTCTGTTTGCGGCAAGGAGCTACATGTGTAGCATATTCACAAGAAGATGCGTGCCTGTTCGGAAGAGTGATTTTGTGTCTTGATTTCCTGTTAAGTTATACCGAAAAGGAAGTATTTTAGGGGAAAGGGGTGAGGGAACTTGGAAAAATTCACTGCTGTCATTTGTAAAGAATGATTTTCGATTAAACTTATTAGCAGCAAGGCATATAGCTGGTCCATCTTTTATACATTATCATATAAATATCCAGATCACTTGTAAAGTATAAGTTTGTTCCATCTAAACAACCCATTATTCAGAATATTCTAGACCAAATTTGATCATGATTCATGAATCCGAACAGATGGCGGTTTAGAAGCTTAATCCCATATGTTGCCTCGCCGCTCTGCACATCTCCAAAATCAACTTTAGCTCACATACTTCTCAATATACAGCACCGCATCCTCTGCTGCCACAAAAACTTGTGCTGCCTCAATGTTTTTGATGATGTGTATCGCTTCAATGCGATGTGACATTTAATGAAAAAAAAGTCAAATTTTTCCTATTAATATTAACGAGTGATTAGATTGTACGTATTTATGGGATAAAAATTAATAGAATATACCAAAGGACATATTTAGTATGCTTGAACGTTTGTAATGGACAATGTTTACTTTCGCTTAATATCCTGTAAAATACACACCCTTTCGATTTTACAAATGAGTTAGGCAATCGTGCAATAAATGTACATGTACCTTCTTGCCAAATACATAGCAGTACTAAGATTCCTATAAACTGTAGTTGAAGATTTGAGTTAGAGTTCAGACAAATCTGCGATTTCTGTTAGAGTTAAAGTAAATCTGTGACCTGTGTCAGAGATGAAATAAATCTGTGACCTGTTTTAGAGGTAAGATTAATATGTGATCTGTGATAGAGTTAAGGTAAATCTGTGTCAGAGTTAGAGTAAAAATAGATATATGATCTGTGTCAGAGTTAGAGTAAGGATAAATCTGTGATCCGTGTCAGAGTTAGAGTAAGGATACATCTGTGATCCGGGTCAGAGTTAGAGTAAGGATAAATATGTTATCCGTGTCAGAGTTAGAGTAAGGATAAATCTGTGATCCATGTCAGAGTTAGAGTAAGGATAAGTCTGTGATCCATGTCAGAGTAAGAGTAAGGATAAATCTGTGATCTGTGCTAGAGGTAAGTTTAATCTGTGATCTTTGACAGAGTTAAGATAAATATGTGCTCTATGTATGAGGTAAGATAAATCTGTGATCTATGTTTGAGGTAAGATAATTCTGTGATCTCTGCTAGAGTCAAGATAAATTTGTGATCTATGTATGAGGTATGGTAAGTCTGTTTTCTTGTTTTCGGTTTAAGAGTTAAGGTATAATGTCATATCAATCACATCGTTCACAATATATAATGTGACATTTTCCTATTTCACGTTAAGGGTTACCAACATATGTTCAATAGCATGTGTGACTTTTTTATATCAATGCTAATGATTGCTGTCATATATTCAAAAGTATGTTTATCTAATATCTGTAACTATTTCTAAAAGTATGTCGACTATGTTGAATTAATTAGTATTTGTAGCTATTGTATATTCAACACCATTTTTGAATATCATATGTTTATCGACATAATTTTTTTGAAGCTCTGCTAAATATGTCTAGGTATGTGATAGGCGGTAACCAGTTAAAAATGCACCGTTTCTGGGGCGTAGTGTTTTTCATCTAAAATAACGACCCCTAATATCATACTGCAATACTAATATTGATGCTCGTTAGTTTTACATGACGGGTGTTGTCGGTGAAGCAGAAAACGCTTACTCTTCTGGAACACTCGGTCTTATTTTTCTTGCTCTTTTTCATGAGTCTACCTGTACATTTTTGTTCATATTTGCCCTAGTTTTATGGAATTTGAGTTTGAATTAGTATTGTGTTGCCATGCTGGTATTTACTTTCATTTTACCGACATACACTTACCTACTTGTAACACATTATATACCATTTCCGTCATCATACATACCCATCAAGGACTCTGGTGTACATGAACCTGTATTATTCCGAAGTTTTCACTTGATGTACTTGTCGGGAAAAACTCATAATAAATAGGATCCTCTGGTGTACATGAACCTGTATTATTCCGAAGTTTTCACTTGATGTACTTGTCGGGAAAAACTCATAGTAATTAGGATCCTCTGGTGTACATAAAATCGTACGCCGAAGTATTTTACCTGTTGACATACTTAACCCTGATAACAGACTCCATAAGGGGGGGGGGGGGGGGGGGGGGGGGGGGGGGGAATCGCTACAAAAGAACCAATTAAAGTTAAATGATGGGACAATTATCTTAGATATGAGATATGTCTTTGTACATTTTGGAATTATTTTTGCATTAATGTATAGAATTATGTATTTCCGATGTTTTTTTTTTCAAGCGAGTTTGTGGTATTATCAAGAGCTTTGGATGTTATGTATATAATTGTCCTGTGTATGAGTTAAGATAAAGTTGTGATCAATGTTAGAGTTATGATAAATCTGTTTTCTATGTTAGAGTTAAGGTAAATCCACGATATGTGTTAGAGTTAAGGTAAATCCACGATATGTGTTAGAGTTAAGGTAAATCCACGATATGTGTTAGAGTTAAGGTAAATG